TATACTCTGTTTTTAAACCAGGAGGAGTAAACGCGAAAGTCAGATTTACACTGGGAAAAATCACCAGAAAATATCACTAGATATTTTGGCGGTAAATTTAAATTAATAATTATTATTTATTTATTTACTTATTATTGTATTTATTTTCGTTTGTTATCGTCAACACTATACATACAAATTAACATTGAAGTTATGAGTGTATTTATTTCAAAATATAATAAAAAAGGGTTTAAGAACACAAAATATACAATAATGACACGAAACTGTCGAATTATCAATTACCTAACCTTCAAATTCAAAATCAAAATTGCCTGTGTGTGAACCTTCCTCGCATTCAACCAATCACGTGCAAGGTCAATCTGGTGACAAATTTAAAATACTCCTCCTGGTTTAAAAACAGAGTATAGTGATTTTATACATTTTATGTTGGGTATCCTGCGTTACCATGGAAATTTTAATGAATATTTTAAAATATTAAATGACAGCTTTATGTCATGTCATTAAAGATATCAAATTGAGGTTATGTTAAGTGCATCTCAATAATTTCTTTGTATCACAAGTTTAATAATCCTATTTGTTATCTGATAAGACTTTATCTTAAATACATATAATTAGTAAGTGACACATAGTTTTTTTTAAAATATTTTAAGTAATTATAAACAGTAAAAATTATAATAGAATAAAATATATATAACTAAAAAAATATTGAATAATTTTTTTAACCTCACCTGACTAACGATAATTGGAAATTGATCAGGATTTGGTCTGTACTGTATCAATTTATCCAAACATCTTGACACTGAAACTCGATTACAAGCAAACACCAAAACTGGTATAACAACATTTTTTAAACTGTTTTGCCGCTCACTCTCCCCAATTTTCTTTCTACTTAAAATACCCTGCACTTTTCCGATCATCTCCTTATTTTGTGCCATTTGCTCGTTAATTCCAGCCTCTAATCTACCAATTTCAAGTTCCAAAACAGCCGAGGGCTCCTCTAGCCTGCGTATTAATGCGTAATATGTCAGCGTGCCCCATATCACCAAGCATATTGCAACAATCAGCGAAGACCTCTTCAATCGCATGGTACTTTAACAACTGTTTATGAAATCCTACAAATGAAAAAGCGAATTTTTTTGATATTGTGTAAGAAAAACTACAAAATGTATTGTTTACTTACAGTAGTAAGCATTCTGTGTTGCTTTTATCACATTTTTAACCACATTTTTCATATTTATCAACTTATTGGCATTTGGGATTTTAGAGGCTTGATATGTTAACAATGTAAACCGTCTGGTTTACACGAACGCAAGCCGATTACGTGTATTTCCGTTTCGTCACGTTACTCATATTTTATAGACGTAAAATGATTGGAAAAAAATTTATTTACTTTTTTTATAACATGTGTGACAATTTGACGTTTGGTCAAAGCACTTTGTGTAATTTTAAGTGTAGCTATTCATCAATAGATGTCTCTAGTTTCATTATTATAACGATATCTATAACAAATCAGCAAATTTCACCAATTAAAATAATAAAAAGTAAACATATTTTAGAAAACCTATTTAATTATACCACAATTGATTATTACATACAGTTCAGGTCAATGAAAAAATAAAGACCCTTGTGGTGCCCTGACCAAATTATTCTCTTTATAAAACCGCATGGTAGCAAGTTCTTTCATCATCGGTCTGTAATCTCCGTCATCTTGTGAATTTAATGATTGTATAATAGCCACCAAAATATGAACGCTAGCACAAATTGCACAAGTCAATAGAATAGACTCCAAGACGTTCAAGGCCATTAATTATATGTATAAGCTTTTCTTGCAGCACTTACTGATGTTTTAATGAAACCTTCCGCGTTTTTTACATCTTCTCTCTGCGATATTTCCGACAAAGAAAACCAACGGTGATATTATTATGATTGTTGGTTTTTATGCCCCTAAGTCGTATATGTAGGAATGAAGGTTTATCAGCAGGCTACCCCTTACCTGAAGAAAAAACCATGATGCGGTCGGTATGAATTACGATATGGGTGATACGCGTGATACGAATAAAATTTGATGTTTACTTTTTTATGATCAATAAAAAAATTGATAAAATGTCAATAAATCTAGGTTCACTACAAATTTATTGTTTAATTAAACGTTCAATAAAAGGTCATAAATATTTTTCAATTATTATCCCTCCAAACTAAAATAGTATGTATATTATCACTATATCATGCAGTTAGTTTTAAGAAATTTTAGGAAAATCAGGCTCACATTTATAGTGCTACATGTGAGTTTTTATGTATAGATCATTTGATCTAGTTCAAATCGCTGAAACCAATTTAGCTCTAAAGACATTCATCTCATCAGTTGTTAGCAAATCATAAAGAAAAGTTAGAAGAGGATGTAAAAACATTTCTGACGGTTTTTTGTTGTATTGTAATTAAAAGAACATCAATGGCACTTAACGGTAGATTATAGAAAAAAGCCGAAAGGGAGAAAGAGTTGCGATTAGACTTGCTATTGCGATGATATGGGAACAGCAGAATAAGTACATAATGATTGCCCTTTTCTGCCCCTAATCCAACAGATTTTTGGATAATGTAATCCTGAATCAATTGCGACAGATAGTGATATGTCTGTGTTAAAAACTGGTTTACTCAAGTAGAGCTAAATGATTTGGTTAGGAACATGGGCTTAACAGAGGAGAAAACTGAACTACTTGGCTCCAGACTCAAGAAGAAATATTTATTGGCAGCAGAAATTAACATTCATGTATGTCAGAAAAACACACTGATTTACGTCGACCCTATTAGGTTTTTCAACTGAATAACTCAAATTGGTACTCAAACATGCCTATAAGGCTAAATTGCTGCATCAATTGCAACGAATGACCCCGGAGCAACTTAAGCACTGGCAAAACGCTGACCATCTAAACTGATGGATCAAAGGAGCTCCAGCTACACCTTTCCACTTCGCTAGAGTCGTCCTGCACGACTCCTCAGACCGAAATAACTGCTATAAGTATAGCAACCAATGTGATCATGTTGTGGCTTGGAGATGCATTCTCCACCATATACCTATTGTAGATCAATAACATTGCCTATAACCCAAAATACGGGGAAATTGTAACAGAATTACCACCGAAGTATTTGATACCGGAGGGGAATGAGGTTGGGGCCAGACTTAGGTGTGGTAACGAAGAGCCAATAGATATTGGATGGAGGATGAGAAGATGGAGGATGCCGAAGGAGAAGGCGAAGCGGAGAAGATGGGTGGGTGAGGTGGTGGCAGCGAGGATACATACATAGGTAGGCAGGGGAAAGCTGGGGAAAGGGGTTATTATTATTTCTCCTATGTGCATTGTTGTAATGCAGTGGAGGCAATAAATTATTAGTATTATTATTACACTCAAATCTTCTAACTACCATACCAGGTTTATACAAAGTATTCTCCTTATTGGGGAAATACAAGTCTACTTCGCGCCATATTATATTTTTCTGTAGGCAACTAACACGTCTGCCTTCTAATGACGTATTTCATTCAAAATGGGTTTTGTCATGAAATATTTAATCATTCAAGCATCTCGAGGGGAATAAAATGTTTTAGGAACACGTCTTATAATGTTATATACACGAGTTTTAGATTGACGTGGTGGTATAGTTTGCCCTAACAGTCCATTTGGAACAACCAATTCAGAGCTTATACAGGGTGATTCAAAAAACCGCTGACAGACTTCTAGAGTAGATAATACACGAACAATTAAGATGAATTGTCTTAATGTACATGGGGTCGCAAATGCATCGTTGGCGAGAAATAGCGGATCAAAGTTTCTTTACAATTAAACATTATCTGCTATAAAAAGCACTTTTTTAAAAATATTGTCTACGCCATTGCTCTCTACGCGTGTAAAGTGATCAATTATCTATCACTTGGTCTCTTATAAAACTTTGATCAAAGCAAAAGTTTGTAGAAAATTTGTTAATTCAATCAAAAACTGTTGCTTTAATCAAAGTTTTGTAAGAGACCAATTGATAGATAATTGATCACTTTACACGAAAATACTGCCCGTTTGACAAAATTAGCAGTGGAGTTGGAAATATTTTTAAAAAAGGGCTTTTTATTGCAGGTAATGTTTAATTTTAAAGAAACTTTGACCCGCTGTATCTCGTTAAGGAGGCATTTGCGACCCCATGTATATTAAGACTTTTCATCTTAATTTTTGATGTATTACCTAGAAGTCGGTCAGCGGTTTTTTGAATCACCTGTATACATGCAATTTTTGCAAGTTCAAAGTCAGCAACAACAGGAATGCAGAAATAAACTTTTAGAGATGTTAATTAAGTCACATAGCATACTTTTAGGTATTCCTAAAATTATAACTACTTTTAAGACATCGTGGGTTTGATATGTCTAAAGTGTGCATTAGGATTTCTAGGGTTAAAATGTCATAGTAAAAGCGCGCCAATTTTAAATAATATACGACACAAGAATTTTTTTAATTGTAAAATGTTCTAAAAAAGCTTTCTTATAACCACTAATATTCTTTACTGTTTCTTAATTAATAATTTATTTTATAATTAATATTTGAAACTTTATTTTTATTGACATGCGGAATTATAACCTACAAAAACTTACATTTTAAAATATCTAAATTCGCAATAAATATGTTGTTGTTAACTAAAATACCTGCTATAAAATGTAAATATTACCTTAATTTTTTAAGAAGATGTAGTACCACAAACATATGGGTAAGTTTTACTTAAAACATTATAGGTTATGTTATTTTTTGAGGTTAAAAATGTCTAATATTTATTTTATCGTTTTATTTGAAAGAAAGAAGACCTAACGTTAGAATTAAAACATAAAATAGAACAACGTTGGAGTGAAATTATTAATAAACGAGATGCAAACACCAAAAATCAAACGAAATGTTATGTTTTATCGATGTTTCCATATCCCTCAGGACAACTTCATATGGGTCATGTTAGGGTTTATACCATTAGCGATTCAGTGGCAAGGTTTCAAAGAATGAATGGAAAAAATGTGATTCATCCAATTGGTTGGGATGCCTTTGGTTTACCAGCAGAAAACGCAGCGATCGAACGTAACATTCCTCCAGAAGATTGGACTAAACAGAATATAGACCATATGAAGACGCAACTAAAACAATTAGGGTGTAGTTTTGATTGGGATCGTGAAATAAGTACTTGTTCTCCTGAATATTATCGTTGGACACAAGATTTATTTCTTAAACTTTATGAAAAAGGGCTTGTTTATCAAAAAAAGGTAAATAAATCAAAAAAATTAATATGAAAATTTAGTTTATTTAGGCTTTAGTTAATTGGGATCCTGTTGACAAAACTGTGTTAGCTGACGAACAAGTTGATGAGAATGGATATGCTTGGAGATCAGGAGCGAAGGTGGAAAAAAAGTATTTAAAACAGTGGTTTGTTAAAACTAGATATTTTGCGAAAGATTTGTATGATGGTTTAAGTGATGATATTCTACATGATTGGAGAGATATTTTAAAGATACAAAAACATTGGATTGGAGATTGTAATGGGATTACTTTCGATTTAAATTTGATTGGTAGTGAAGATGAAAAGACAATTAGTATTTGGACTGATAAACCTGAATATTTCAGCGAAGCAAAATTTATTATTGTACCAAAAAATCATTTATTTGCAAACTATGATGGGGAAGTTTCACAAGGAGGCGTTAAAAAATTAAAAATTCATGCTGAAAACTTTATTACTAATAAAAATATCCCTATTTATGTTGATTCCAATAACTTTGAATTTGAATCTGAGTATTATTTAGGTTTTCCTGGCTTAAATGAGCATGATACAAACTTTGCTATTCAACAAAACATACAATATAAAACTCCCGAAATTTTAACACCACCCGAAATTAATGATATCACCCAAAAAATCGTAGATAAAGCTAAAAATTTAAATAAAGGCGGTTATAAAACAAGTGCCAAATTAAAAGATTGGTTAATATCAAGACAAAGATATTGGGGAACACCAATTCCGATAATTCATTGCAAATTTTGTGGTCCACAACCTGTCCCAAGAAAAAATCTTCCCATAGAGCTTCCTAAAATGAAAGAAGAAAATTTAAAAAACGTTTCATTATCAAAATGTCACGATTGGTTAGAAACAAGTTGTCCTAAGTGTAATCAATTAGCTTTAAGAGAAACTGATACGATGGATACATTCGTTGATAGTTCTTGGTATTACTTAAGATATTTAGATCCACACAACACAAAAGAAATTTTTAATAAAGAAATAATCAAAAATTATTCTCCAGTTGAGTTGTATATCGGCGGAAAAGAACACGCTGTTTTACATTTATATTATGCGAGATTTATTAATCATTTTTTGTATTCTTTGGGATTGGTCCCAACAAAAGAACCGTTTAAACGACTACTTGTGCAGGGAATGGTTATGGGAAGAAGTTTTAGGGTGAAAAACAGCGGGAGATATGTTAAAGAAACTGAGGTGAAAGTTATTGGTAAAAAAATCTTATAAATTAAAACATTTTAATAAATTTATTTATTTTTAAAGATTTAAAACGAAATAAAGCCGTATTGAAAGATACAAATGACCCAGTTGTTATACAATGGGAAAAAATGAGTAAATCTAAACATAATGGGGTCGATCCTAATGAAATGTTTAAAAATTATGGTGTTGATACAACCCGGTTGTTAATTATGGCAGATGTTGCACCAACTTCACATAGAAACTGGAATTCTAACAGTAAATATTATTTTGGTAGTAATGATAAGAAAATAATATTTTTTTAATTTATTTAGCATTTCCTGGTATTTTAAATTGGCAAAGACGATTATGGTTAACAATTCAAGAATTTTTAACACACAGAAATTACCCACCAAAAGAAATTTCAAAAAATAAATTTGATGAAGAAGATTTTTACATGTTTGATTCAAGGAATTATTACGTAAAAGGGGCAACGTTTAATTATTGTACTTCCCAACAAATGAGTGTTGCTCTATCTAAAATGCAGGGTCTTACAAATAGTTTAAGAGTAATTTAAATTAAAAACAAAACGACTTATTTTTAAATAACTCATTTTTAGAAAGTTTCGCCACAAACTTTCGCTAAAAGTAAACAATTCGAAAGAGCTTTAGGTTGTCAAATAATTTTATTGGCTCCAATGGCCCCTCATTTCGCCTCGCAATTATGGGAGGGTTTCGTATCCGCCCCAAATCGGTTAAATCCGGATGAATTTTTTTGGGACAAGAATGTTTTGGAACAAAAATGGCCGGATATTGATTCGAATTATCAATTGGAGTTGGTTATTCAAGTATGTAACGAAACAATTTGTAACATTTTAGACTAATTTTCTTCATTAATAATAGGTTAATGGAACTGAAAATGGAATAATAAAGTTTCCACGTGAAGAATTAGAAGAGTTGTCACAAGAAGAAGCTTTGAAATTAGCTTTAGATAATAAAAAAGTTCAAATGATTTTAGAAAAAAGATCCATCATTGATGTAGAATATATTAAACACTTTGGTTATGAAAATGTTATTAATTTAAAAACGACGGATGTTATTAAAAAAGAAAAAATAGCTGAAGAAATAATGAATTAAAGTTTAAAAGAGTTTCTTTTATTTTCCCTCTGTTTTGTATTGTAAAGCTATTGAGTTAGATAACCTCCATGAATTCAAAGAGACGCCAACTCTAGCAATGGATGTTCTGCTTGGCTTATCTCCTTTGCATTTGCATATAGAGAAAGTGGCAAGAACTACCATTTGCAGATTGAAGCAATATGCTCAAAACTGCTGCGAAATGTCGTTCCAGTGGGCTGCAGATGACACTATATGAAATGATATTGTGCTATCAATGCCATCAGATTTGACGGGATAACAACCAGTGATTAATACTCAATACCAGATTGTATGCTGGATCGAAAATGAAAATTCTCTGGTTCAAGCAGATATTTGCATGTTTAGAGATGGATTAAAAATGCCGGACGAGGTTGGGGCAGGAGTATACTGCCAGACACTTTGGATTAAGCAAGCTTACAGCCTAGATGCATACTGTACTGTATTTTAGGCGGAAGTATTTGCTATTGATATGGGTGCTAAAATCCTTCTTGGTGAAGAACATGACTGTACGATTTTTCTCAGACAGTCAAGCCGCTTTCCAGGCAATGCAGTGACAGATGAGCTGGCACAAGAGGGCAACGCTAAAGCGTTTGTAGAGCCAAAGCCAGTAGTTAGTATATCATTTGCGATGGCCAAACATAGGATTGAACTGTGGGCTGAAGAGAGACGTCGCCTACTGTGGACCAGTTCTCTTGGAATGAGACACGCCAAGTTGTTTATTAACATCGCCATTCTTGGAATATTTTAGGACTTTCTCGTAGCAGCATTAAAGTTCTCATGGGTGTCTTTACTAGGCACTGACGATTAAAGGCACACCTCAACTTGTTGGGCCTAGCCGACGATGTTGAATGCCGACTATGTACGGAGGATTCTCAAGGAGATTCTTAATTTTTGGGTCGCAGTTTGTTTCCCCAAAGGATCTGAATGACTTTTCACCGAGCAAGGCAATTTATTTATATTTCAGTTCATTCCGCCACTATAATTTACATATGCGTAATTTTCTGATTGACTCCACTTTTATTAAGATATTATCGTTACACTAATATTAAAGTATAATAAGTACAAATAAGATATCATTGAATTAAAAAAGAAGATAATTGGTTATTTGATGCAGTTTGTTCAAGTATTAATTAATAAAAAAGTCTGTTTTAAAAAAATGGCACAATCTTCTCTCCAAATTAACAAGCCTTATCATGTCAATAATATTATTCATCGTCGGTTGCCGACAAATTTGTAGCTTCAGTGGCTCCAAGCTGAAAAAAAAATAATGGATTAAAACAATTCTCATTGATTTCGTTATTGTAATTAATTTAGTATTCACAAATTATTCAAGAAGAATAACTTAAAGAACATGTTGCAGCAATGAAAAGCAATGTACAGTTTTTATTTGGATCATAAAAGTAGCAGCAATTATAAGAATATAGAGTTTTACTGCAAGGTTTTCAGAATTAGGCGTTTCCATCCATTTGTACTTGCAAGTATCATCAAAAATTAATTTAATCATGGGAAGATGGCGGTTAGATATGATTGGCCTAAAACTTTTTTATCTATCTTTGCAAGTGTAAGAAATTTACAACAAATTTTATGATTACCATTATGAATTCATTATATTGTTCCAAATAAGACTCTGAAGGCAGTCACAATTAAAGAAAAGCGATCTATAAACAATGTATGGTAATTTGAAAAGAAAACGTTCTGCAACATCATCTGGAGTAAATTAGAGACTATGTATCAAATATAGAGATAAAATAACATTAGCTAAAAGATTTTCCAAGAACTCGAGGTTTTCAGTACCTGTCAATGGTTCCGCAACATTTCCAAGTTAACCAGATGTTTTTGCATGGCTTACACAGTATCTTCATTGCATTAAACATAGCTGTTGGGAAAAGTGATTATTCTATTTTTAGTAAAATTAGCTTCATTGGTAATAAAAACGTTTATAGCAAAAATTAGTAATTGTAAAGCTATCCGCCAAAAACCATTCACAAAATGTACAACTACCGTTATAATTCAGACCAATAAGGGCTTGTGCCTATTAGACATGGTAAGAATGTAGAAGCTGCTCATAAAGACTTCTTCAAACAAGAAAGCTGATTATATACATTTGAACTAATATTTTTTTCGGGATTTTCATTTCTAACCCAGTGATTAATTCCATTTTTATTAAGATTTTATTATTAAAAAGTTACATTAATAATAAAGTATAATATTTATAAGTACAAATAAGTATAAATACTGGTATCGTTGAAATAAAAAAAGTGTATTTGGTTATTTGATTCAGTACGTTCAAGTTTTTATGAACAAAAAAGTCTTTTTTAAAAAAATGGCACAATCTTCTTCCCAAATCAACAAGAATCATAAAATTATTCTTCATCGGTAGCCGCCAAACGTGTTGTAGCATCATTGGCTGCGTTCTGAAACAATACCAATAATGGATTAAAAGCAAGGATTATCATTAAACAGACTGTTGAGAAAACTAATTATTCTAACAATGAAGATTAGCGATTTTGCAAAAATTTTGCAAAACGTGCAACTACCGTTATAATTCAGACCAGTAAGTGTCTATTAGATATGGTAAGGGCATAGAAGATGCCATAAAGAATTTTCTAAACAAGAAAGTTGAAGAAACACATTACTGATAACTCCATTTGCATCTCAGTTCCAGTGTTGGAGTGACAAAAACATAATAATAGAGGCCCACTGGGGCCTAAGTGCGCGTAAAAATTACGCACCCCTGTACATACATTCAACATAATAATAATACAAAACGAGTTTATAACATCAATTTATTTAATTAGTGACACTTCATGTTTTAGATCAAATTAGAGATTAAAACAACTTTATCAAAACCTTTAAAAAATACTAATTTGTTATTAGTCATACTGAGTTTCGAGTAAATCATGTGTTATGAGAATGTAATATCAAGAAATGTACACCAAAAATGTTTTTTTATTCGATTAGAGGTAGTGCGATATGGTTCACCAGGTGTGATTTATCTTATTATATTTTTATGGAAATTACAAAGTATTAAGAAATGATTAAATTATATCTGAGTCTATAATATGCCCTCAAGTGTGTATCTTTGAACGAACAGATTCCAGTATGATAGATTCGTTTCATATTTAAGTGTATACAGTCGTGACAAACAGGTGTCCTGTATCTTCCATGATATCATTTTCCTAATAAAATGTTTTCGAAATGTTTATAACAACCGCACGGGAACTGTTTAATGCAACACTTTTGCTTTCAGATGCATGAATGTAAAGAAAATATGAAAATTAGAAGAATTTGTAGTTTCACAAGTTGCTAAAGGAAAAATCGGTATTCGGAAAATCCTAACTAAAAACGTTTAGAACAAAAGTTGTAGCAAATTTTACTCTTAACACATTGCTGTGTAACACTTTTGCTCTCAGATGCAATTAATTTTAGTTTTGCGATTTGCATTGCTATCAAAATACTAGATATCTTGAGTTAAGGATAAATTTAAGTAGAAAGAATTCATAGTTCAGTTCTTTTAGGTGATAGCAGTATTACCGAAGGTCAGTCCCAATTAGAGATTACAAAACATCAAATTATCATCAATCATTCACGCAATGGATTATAGTAAGAGCTCATCCCACATATTGTTGATTAATCATGTAATAATTAAACATGTTGCGATAGGTAACAGAAGGAATTAATTAATAACATTATGAAAAGTAATAATAAAAAAATTCTTATTAATTTAATCGATAATAAATACGTGGGGGGAAAAATCAGATAAGATACGGATAAAAATATTTAAACGATATTTATTTTATGTAACGGGAAAAAAATACCAGAAAGTAATTATTCTGGCTTATAGCAACACGTTTCGTGAATTTGCTGTAATTTTACTTTAAAAAGGATTAAAAATGGAAAATGGTATAAAGTCAGATGACAAGATTAAAGTAGACGAGGTGAACGAGAAAATTAATGTTGAGAAAAATCAACAAATTGGTAAGTTAATTTGCACGTGATACAAAAAATATCGATTATCAATCAAACTTATCTCAAATGCTATTTATGCTGTAAATAATTACAGATTCGGGTAATTTATTATATAATTGATTACGTTTTTTATTCAACAAAATTGTAATTATAATTTTATTTCAATTTAAACAGAAACTCCAGAAGAATCAAGTTTATTACCTACCGTAAATAATAACGAAGTTAATAATAATTTCAATAATACTGAAAATGATGTAGGAGAAAATGAGAGCGCTCTAATAATTGAGAATAATATCGATGGTACTGAAAAATCCATAATAACCCCTGAAAATCAAGAAATATCTGTTCCTCAAACAGCTCTTATTGACGATTCTGAACAGCTTATAGCACAACCAACACTACTTGTAGATGTAGATCCAAAGAATTCTGAATCTAACGAAACGTCTTCATTACAAGCAACTTCAGTAGTTGATGCAGAAAAAGAAATACAAATTCAAGAACAAATTTCGCCTGATTCAATATCTGATGATAACAAAATTGATTCTGATAAAGGATTTGTAACTAACTCAGAAATACAGGAACCACCAACATCACCCCAAGTTCAATCATCTTCTTTACAAGCAACTTCAGTAATTGGTGATGAAGAAAAAGAGATACAAATTGAAGAACAAATTTTACCTGATTCTGACCTTGTAAATAACGCACAAATACATGAAACACAAACATCTCCCCAAGTTGTACAAATACCCGAAAATATTTTCAACCTCGATAATGCCCTTATAAAATTAATAAAACAACACGCTGTAAGCTTAGGGTTCCAAGATGTAACAGTTGATGTAACCCGTGGAACTGATCTGGGCGATAATTTTATGGGTTATATAGGAAAACTAACTATTAAAGGTAAAAAAAATGAAAACAACGAAGAAAATGTTATGAATTGGGTTATAAAAACCGCCCCAAATAACGAACTTTACCGAACGCTTTTAAAAGTATCTCTTTTATATACAAGAGAAGCTTACGTTTACGAACATGTTTTTCCTATATTTAAAAATTTCCAATTGGAAAAAAAGATTTTAAAACCGTTTCAAGAATACCCTCAATTAATTTTTACTACTTTAGAACCGATGATAGAAAGTATTGTTATGGGGGATATGAAATCAATTGGTTATTCAATGACGAATCGTCAAGAACCCCTCGGATTGAATTATATCAAATTGGTAATGAAAACATACGCGAAGTTTCACGCTATCTCGTATGCTTTAAGGGATCAAAAACCGGATGTTTTTAAAACGTTAACTGGTAACGTTGAAGATATAATTAAAGAAACTTTACACGAAGAAATGGCTTATAAAACTCAAGGACCTATGATAATGAGTGCTTTAGAGTCTTTAGATCCTGTTAAAGACGCAAGAGCGATTATTAAGTTTAAAAAATTTGCAGAAAAATTTGTAGAAATCGTTAAAACTACCATTAATAAAGTAAATCATTATTCAGTTATTGGACACGGAGATAGTTGGACTAATAACATTTTATGGAAATATGAAGATCCTAATAATCCAACAATTCCAACCAAAGTATGTTTATTAGATTGGCAAGTAGCCCGATATGGTTCCCCAGCATTAGATTTATCATACTTCCTTTTCACGTGCACCGATAAAGAATTCCGTGATCATCATTACGACGATATGATTCGACTTTATTATTACACATTATGCGATCATTTGAACGCATTAGGTAGCGATCCAGAAGTTCTTTTACCTTTCGACGTGCTTCAAAAGGAATTGAAAGAATTTTCTGTTGTTGGAATGTACATGTCCATTTTCGTTTTGTTTATTTGTACAAGAGAAACTGAGGAAATGGCCGAATGGAGATCGAAAGATGTAAAATCCGAAGATGTTAGCAACAAATGGGCTACTAAAAGTGTTAACGCCAATAAATATCAACGAAGAGTTCGTGATGTTATAGTCGATGTTTTTGAAAAAGGTTATTTAGATTGTATTATGTAAATAGTATGCAATGTTTTAGTGTAAAAACTCAAAAAAATAAAGATAAATTTAATAGATTAATGTTTATAACTTCATTGGCAATTTGTTACCGTTTTCTGTTGTTAACTCTTGGTGATTCTTCTGCGTCTGGGACTTAATTTATTACAATTTTCTCGATGGAGAGACGAAATTCGCGAAAAAAATTGATTATTAGTTTATCACTGGTGCGATTATTAGAAATAAGGTGGAACACGGAGAGTAGAATAAAGTGGAAAAATATGGAAGAGGGATATGTACAGGGTGGCCAAATAAGTACAAAGTACTCTATCTCGGAAACTATTCATTGTAGAGACTTGCGATAAAAATTTAATGACCAAAGTGGCCAAGAGAAAATCCTAGAAAGTATTTTCAGGTTTCTAAGATATTCTAATTTCAAAATTTTGCGCGCGGCAAAATTGCACGATACAATTCTGCCGCACACTTGCAGCGCTATGTTTAGACACACCTTAATAATTTAAGTTTTCTCTCTTTTAAAGGTAAATTTTCGTAAACATATAAAAAACACAATTCATTAATAGTGTATGTACAAAATGTTGTAATTTCATGCAAATTTTCATACCAACATGCCAAAAGCGAAAACTACAAAAATAAATATAAAAATAAAAGATAATTTATTTCAAATAAATATTCTGGGTAAATGTACAAAACAAAGGAAAACAATCACAAAAACATGCATAAAACAAGAAAACGTGTAATAATTATAATTTAGTGCATATCACAAAAATACAATGTTTCAGGTAACAAATAACTACAACAAAAAGTTCTTTTACAAAGCGAGAAGCTTAAATAGCAAGCAAAATAAAAATTTTAAGTACATACATCAGCCATCTCCTTTAATTTCTCCTTATTTTTTCTTTTAAAGAATCCAAACTAAAATTTAAATTAAAAAGAAAAATTTAGAATTTTTAAAATTAAAATTAAATCTTGTATTTACCTTGTAAAGCACAGCGGCGATTATAGCTAAAACTAAAACACCACATAGTACTGCGACTATAATGATCCAAATTGGAACCATTTTCTCAACATTTGGACCAACCAAAACACTTGATAAGCTCTTATGAAGACTGAAAATAAATAATGATTTAGTATTGATAAAGTATGTATTATTGCAAAATTTACTGTGTTGATTCTAAAGCTTTATCATCAATTTTTGCACCAAAATTAGTGCTATAAATAATTACGTCGCTTTCCCCTAGAATATCTAAAAATAAAAGAGATTAATAAATATAAAAATTTTAAATGAATACCAATTACCTCGTGAAATCGACCCAATGTGTAATCTATACTTAAATAGTATTTCAATTACATCTCTATTTACACGTCCGGTACTACATTGAAGTTTTTCGCATTTTAATCCTTTTTCTACTTGTCCATCATCGGAACAATTAATATAAAATTCGGTGAAATGTTTAAATTTTTGCGTGACATCTTCGACGGTATTTCTTCGTCTTCTTTTACTTCTAGTTGTGGAACTATCAGCGTTACTTAATGATTTTTTTTCGATAAAAGCTACCGTGTTGTCACACGTAATAGGATGTTCTTTTAAAGTTGGTTGATACATTTCAATAAAATAATCTGTTCCATAACTAACCGGTACTTCAACGTCTATTAATACGTTTTCTAACGCACTTGGTCCTTCTTTTTGTATCTGATTTAAAACAAAGAACATTAACAAGAAATGTATAAAAAAAAAAAGAAATTACCTGTAAAACTTGAGTAAATTCTACAGTTGAAGATGTGTTATCGAATGTATAATATTCTTCTTTGGATCTCCTAAAAATTTAAGTTGTAAACACAAATTAATTAATTAATAAAAAAATCAATTTTACCCTGAAATCTCTATTTTGGCACTTTTCATTGCTAAAAGTTGCACTTCCTTAAATTTTATTCCGTTATTTACACCAATAGTTGAAACGGAAACGTTGAACAAAAGATTTTCAGTTGTACCTTCATTAATATGGCTCATATCCAATTCTAATTCTACCGTCTAAAATAAAAAAAACATCCATTCCATTAAATAAAGATAATGTAAAAATGATGTATGGAGATACTTAAAGAGGATGAGGAATGGAAGAGACGAAGTCAGCAGAGATATACAAATGACGGAATGGAGAACCTTCTTCATGAGATTGTTGGGAGGGGTGGAAGAGAGAAAAATAGGAGAGAGAGTGCAAGGGGAAGAGGTAATAATAATGGATGAGTGGAAGCAGTGTTGAGGGGACTGAAGAGGGGAAGTGCGCCAAGAGAGGATGATCCAGAATGAGGCATGGGTGGAGGCGACGGTAACAGTGAAGAAGAAGATATGGAATGTAATAAACGATATGCCTACTGTATAAAAAGGGGAGTAAAAGGGTGGTGGACAATTATAGAGGGATCACTTCTGTTGGAGACACTACATTTATAATATATGCAAAGGGTGGAGAAGAAGGAGGGAGGACTATAGATGGGAGGGAAGAGAGATAGAGGAAGTCAAAGAGTATACGTACCTGGGATATGGGTTCTTGGAGGGTAATAAGGTCGTGTCGCACGTGATGGCTTTGGCAAAAAGAGCGAACAGGGTGATGCGAGGAAAGGATAGAGTGAAGGCCGCATTGCAGAATCTTGGGAGAGTGCTGGAGAAAATCAAGGAGAAGGAAAGATATTATAGGAATATATAGTGGGATGTACAATAACTGAGATATAGTGGAAAGAATTAAGGGATAGGGAGAGGGACATACAGAGGCAGGAGAGAAGGTCACAGCTACGGGAAGGAAGATAGTGACAGAAGAACTGCTAAAGTATTTGTTGATGGAAGGGGACGAGGAAGGGAAGAGTGGAAGCAGGTATTGGGATGATGTGGAGGTGGTGTAAGCTATATGGAAACTATTGGGAGACGCTGAAACACATACTGAGAGGGTGTAGCGAGCTTTTGGAAGAGGGGAGAGGGCAAGAGATGGATGAGGGAGGTGATTGGGGCGAGAAGCCGAGGGTGTGAAGATGGAGGAGGAGGATAGAGGGTGTATGTCATTAAAGGAGAAAATATGGTAAACATAGTACACAATAAAGCACTTATTATTAAAGATAATGTACCTTTTTATCGCCTTCCAATGGATTTGCAATTGTACAAGTAACCTCAGTATCAACCAATTTACAAGTCGCAGGTAATTTTCGTAACGTAACTTTTGGTTTACTCGGTAATTTAACAGATAGTTTGGTTTGGTAGGCTTTATCTCCTGTGTTTGAAACTTCAGTTACCAATTTTATGTATGATTTAGATCCTATTGTAAATATGTTATCACTATTTAAAGCAAAAAAAAAATTAAGTAACGAAAAAGAAAACAAATAGTTTAACATAAGTTTAGTTATATTTAACTATGATCGTTAGTAAAAGTGAAGGCCCTTCAATTTATATCTTCGCAAGGATTCGATGAAAGAAATCGCGGTAAAGTTTGTTGTAATCACTGAACATTTCTACGTAACATGTGTTAATTTGAAAAATTTCAGCTCCGTCGTTTTCTATTTATCACGAGTTAAATGAAAAAACTATCTGATCTTTGAGGGTTGAGGTTCATAATTTTCTAGTCTAAACCCATAAATGGCTAAAAAGGTCCAAATCTTAGCCATTTACGGGTTCCTCCAGTATTTGTGATTAAAATTATGCCACGACTTGCAGAAACACCTGTATATGTAAGACCATAGGAATTATTATTAGAGAATTTTTAGATTTCTCTGAACTGAGGAACCTTGATTTTTGGCACGAATAGTAAATCTATTCAAGGAAATAGAACAGAAAATAGAAACATGGAAGAACTATGTTGAGCAACTTTTTAAAGACGAGAGATAGCGAATCAATCTTAAAAACCTTGAAAATACAGAAAGGACCAGTCTAGAGACAATCTACCAGTGGAAATTCTTAAGCTGATAGAGGAGGACCAGATCCACATATTGGTATAACTGATTAATGATGTATATAACTCGGGAATAATAAAAAATGACTGGTTACTGTCAATAACTACAATAAGCCTCATGAGCTACACGTTAAAAATCCTACTGAAGGTGATCCATAACAGAATATTTAGAAAATTGGATGCAGACATTGGCAATACACAATTTCGATTGCGAAAAGGTTTACGAACGAGGGAGGTATTGTTTGCACTCAACGTTCTGTCACAGAGATGCTTAGATATAAATCAAGACTTACATGTGTGTTTTGTAGACTACAAGAAGGCTTTTGATATCCTTAGGTGGTAAGGATAAACACCACCTACTCACAGAAACTTTGTTAAAGAAGAGAATTGATCTCAAAAACATAAAAATAATCTCTAACCTTTATTATGGACAAAAGGCAGAAAAACGTGTAGAAGATTTAACATCTGATGAAATAGAAATTCAAAGAGGGCTTCGACAAGCATGTACTTTCACCAATCAGCTTTAACCTATACTCAGGAGATAAGCCTCCTATATAAGTTATATTACCCAGAACGCACGAAGATCTGCAAAAGCTTGTTAATAGAATAGTTACTGTAATAGTAGCAAACAAAGTAGGTTATTACAAAAACACCGAGAAAATAATAATAAGAGTAAAAGAATTCAAATACCTAGGCACAATTATTAATGATAACCACGACAGCTCTCAAGAGGTGCGCATTAGAATTGAACAGGCTAAAAGCACGTTTAATGGAATAAAGAAGCTTTTTTGTTGTCGAGATCATGCAATGCAAAAGTACCAATTTTTGCAAATCATTATGCAGGGAAAAATTCTGGGAAAGAGATCCATAGGAAGAAGACGTAACTTATGGTTGAAGAACCTTCGAGAGTGGTTTGGTTGCACAAGCAACGAACTATTCAGATCGAAAAAAAGAAGTAAACAAAAAAAATATTTACCCATTCTTGCTGATTTCTTCAAACAGTGAATTCACATGAAGAATAGGATAACATTTGTTATCTGTACCACATCCCAAATTAAAACTAACTGATCCTGTAACGTCTTGTTTACTTTTCGGATCAAAAACGGGACAGGATCTGCAAAAAGCATCGTTTCCGCTGATTCCTTCTTTTTCAATCACTATCATTTCAGGGTTAATGGTGCGTTCTTCTAATTTATAACTTAACGTGTAATCCATTTCTTTGTCAATATTTTGAGGATCATCCTAAATTTAAAAAAAAATTAGATATATTGATACAACATTGTTAACATTATGAAGCTTACTTTTACTATTTTTATATTATATGTTTGAGTTATTGGCATACCAGGACCTAACAATTGAATTTTTTCCGGAGCTTCTACAATAGCCCTTCCGTAAGTTGGATCAATGACTAAAGTCGGTATTAAAGCTGCCATAAAACAAACAATAATTAAACAAAAAAAATAACTAAAAACCTTCAATTTACTCAATTTAGGGTCTTCTAATGGTCTTTTCGTTTCATACTCTACAGAAAAAGTTAAATTAAACGCTGTCATTCCATAGTCAATTGTAACGGATTTCACCACTTGTGGCAGTTTTAACGTAATCACTGGTTTTGCTCTGAATATAAACGCCTGTTCCGATTTATAAGCTCCAATTGCTAAATCATTATATCCATTTCCATCGATATCACGCGGTCGAGCAATACTTCGTCCAAATCCAAGCACATTCAAGCCAATATCTTTTCCTTTTATTATTTGCGGGTTGCTTACAACGAGACCTTCTTTACTACCTCTATAAATATAAACACTTCCTATTCCATTGTCTGCATATGTTGCAGCTACAGCAATATCTATAAATATTTATAAAAAAATATTAAAAGAAAGTGCATAAATTTTTATTACACTTATACTATTTGCTGCTAACATTACTAACTTTGTATAATTTCTTAAAATTATATGTTTAGATGACTTTGTAGATGAAATGTATAGATATTATATGTATAGATGTAAATTGAGGTACATTAGTGGTGGAACGGATATCCGGCCTATCCGGCAATTTTTTAAAATCCAGCCGGGCCAAAGCCGGATATTAAAAACCTATTACTTAGTACTCCACCATTCACAGGGATTAGTATCTCTTTTAGGTGTTGGACAGTGCAGATAATAATCAAGTTCAACCCCAATAGACTTTTTTCATTGAATACAACTTTATTGATCATTAGCAACCTCATTGTAACAATCCCAATACGATATATAAAATCTCTTGTTGCTGTTTCGTCTAGTTTTCTTCTCTTCGCTTGTAATTCATCATCACTTTCATTAATAACAGAACTGTCGCTGTTATCACTTTCGATTATGAATTAAAGTATCCTCTTTTTAATGCAACAAGCCGTTTTGACAAATCGCTTTTAGTTCTTGAGAAATAAATTTTTGAAATGATTGACAATTTTTTCGCATTTTGCAATTTTCGCCGATTAAGTTTTAAAAATTCATATAAAATCCAGTTCTTGGAATATGAGTATGAAAATGTACCAAAGTGTTAATAAAAGTGTCCTTTTTCCAATGAACTAACCCGTTTTGAAAAGTAACTTTTAATTTTTGAGAAAACAATATTTGAAGTTTTGATGAAATTTTCGATGTTGCAATTTTCATCGATAATTTTCAAATTTCGCTATAAAATTCATTTCTTGAAGGATCCTTGTAGAAATATTACCAATTATTAATTAAAGTATCCTCTTTTTAATGCAACAAGCCGTTTTGAAAAATCGCTTTTAGTTTTTGAGAAATAAATTTTTGAAATGATCGACAATTTTTTCGAATTTTGCAATTTCGGCCGATTAAATTTTAATAATTTATATAAAATCGGTTCTATGGAATATGAGTATGAAAATGTACCAAAGTGTTAATAAAAATGTCCACTTTCCAATGAACTAACCCGTTTTGAAAAGTAACTTTTAGTTTTTGAGAAAACAATATTTGAAGTTTTGATAAAATTTTCGATGTTGCAATTTTCATCGATA